GAATGATCCGAAATGAAAGAGATTCTAACATAGCAGACTTGTTGCGCTTAGTCGTCCCACAAGAAGTTTCTTGCACCTTCGAAGAAATAATTAATTTTATATAAATATTCAAATCTGTTTTTATCTGTCAAAAAAATTAACATGGGGTTGATGAAAAAAATTAGCAACATAGAGTCATTAGCGCTGACGCCATAGCAAAAAGTTTCAAGATGATCACGCAGCGCAGAGGAACGAAAGGAATGACATGCAAATGGATAGACTGAATTTGTGGTGGGTCAGCATATGAAACTTAATTTTGGCGTCGACCAATGAAGTTGTTCTGCACTCATGGTCCAGGTGAGGGTCAGCGATGATTTGACTTTTTTGACCTATAAATTTAAAGGCGCTGCATTTCATTATAGACGGCTTGTAAAGCACATTTATGATGAATATGAACCTAAGTCTGAAATCACCTACAGAGAAACTGCATTGCTTCCTCTGCTGACCAAATCAACTCAAGGATGAGGTGTACCCCCATATTTGGTAGTCCAGCAGTTCATGAGTGCGGAACGCCTACACTGATATTTTCTGCAACAAGATTTCGCTCTCTGTTTAACCACTCCCATTCCCTTGCCTTTTCAGTCAAACAACTTCCCACAGTTGAAACTCGTCCCTCTTCTTCCAGCACGGTTTGCTCTTTATTTGTCTCGCTTATTTACTACACTTTACATGAAGTTGCCAGATCAGAAAAGAAGAGAAAAAACACTTCGTTCGGAAGTTGCGACAATCAAGAACATGATACGGTGCAACGACTACAATGATTGGGAGCTAAATTAGTGTCGTTTTGTCGCCTTGCGCCTACGTTTGTTTCAACCCGCTTTTTCTAACGAAGAAAATTGCCAATGCGATCGAGAAAACTTCTGAGGAACCGACTTGTTTCATCTAAACATGAGCAAGGGTCGGTGCGAGTTTTTGACCTAATTTATTGTCCGTATCGTTTATTGAAGAAGAAGGCAGGCGGCAGCCAGGATGATCTGTAACAGGATGACGTCGAAAGGAATGAAGAGTTGGCACACAGTTATTAGATCCAGAAGGAATGCTTGTGCGGCAATGAGCGTCGTCTTGGATGCAATACGGTAAAAAGAAGATTTTTAAGATCGGACTTCAGCTCTGTGAGAAGTTTTCACAGCTGGCGTTTAAATTTAAATAAAACAAGATAAATAACGGCATGTTTGCTGTTTCTTTGACTTTAATGCCTAGTAAACGAACGTCGGCAAGGTTTCGAAAATATATGTGCCAATAAATCACCAAATGAAAGGCTATGGGCACAAGCGAACAGACAGCGAGAAACGCCAGTAAAGAACATTGCGTCTGTCTTTCCGTTTGTATCCAGTACCACTGAATCGGCGATCTGTTGAGGGATATGACAGAAGTGATGAAATGGTTAGTTGCTTTTGCGAGGTAAGAAAGAGCCTGCGTCACTGGGCGAAAGGGTGGCTACTGAACACTCGAAGGCCGCACGACGGAGGCGGCAAATTCGGCCCTCGCCCAAAGCACCACCCGGACGGGCGTCGCGTTGAGGATACACGGAAGTGTGCCAGATTTTGTGCCGCCGATGACACGACCGACGGATGGCGGAGGGTTCATTTACGGGCAAGTCGTAAATTCAACACGACGACCGTCGTCGACGAAGACCTAGAAACGCGGGCGCCGGCAGATGAGGTTAGTTTTACGACGTCCGCGTGACGCTTTGCACTAATTTATGGCTCAATTTGCCTCTTAATTCATGTCAGTCGTCAGGCGGAAGAAAACGCATCGAAAAAGCGTGCTGCCCTTCCGACGGCGATGTCGATCGTCGTCGGGGCTGGCAGAAGGGGGCACATGATGTTTGCCAAGCCGTTCGGTTCCTTGAACGCGAGGCATGGCTTTTTCAAGCCGGCGCCCAGTCGCAGTCGTACGACGTTCCCGTTTTCTGGCCAGTGCAAAAAAGCTCAAACAACAGCGGTCTGGGCTGGTAAACTACTTTCCATCCGATGCCATAAACCGAATTCGAGAGCGGCCGTTTTTTGCCACCGAATAGGAGCATCGGGTCGCGTGCCGCATCTGGCCCCGTCCCAAGACCCGTCGTGTCATTTGACCCGGCTGCCCTCGAAACCATGATCGATGTCGCCGCTGGCTGTGGACGGTTCAGTTCAGCCCGTCATTGCGATCCGGTTAAATGAAAGCTGAACTTCTGCCGCTCAGACAGCAGTTGGGTGGAAGGTAGATTATTTCGAAGCTATCGTTATACGTTATAGATCACAGGTAATATGATAATAGGTAATACGGTGCACGATATGAGGACGACAATTATTAATCTGGTCGATTGCAGTGAGTACGGCCATAATCACATCTTACCGAGAGAAAAGACAGTCCAATGTCTAAAGGGTCGAAAGTACAAAACAGCCTGAAAGTTACGGCCATTGTGGAAATATCATAAGCGTAGTAGCGCTCATTGCGAAAATGCCACAAATCCCTAAACTGGTGGCTAATGAAGTGACTGGTGCTTTAATCAGATAGAAAATTTCTGTGACAATTCCATAAAACTCCCGGAAGCGAGGCCTCATGTGCCCATGGAACATATCCACGAAATTCCTGACCAGAGGCCAGTTAAATCTTGACCATTATCGGGTTCCAGATATCGAAGTGATCGGCAAATGTTTTAATATTTGAGTTATTGATATTGTGGACCTTTAAGCTATATTAACCTGAGATGATGGTAACAAAATCACAATGTAACCACGAAGAAGAAGTAATTGAACTTTGTCATCATCCGGTGCACCATTTCAGGTATCACAGTTCTATCCTTTTCACTGAATTGCTTTCTTCAGCCACCATGCCACAAAAGAAAATCGACGTTCCGCCTCTCGTTTCGGTATTGGTGAACCTTGCTTCACTCTTGACCAAGCAGTTGCGTCATTGGTCATCCTACCGTGTTGATGGATCACCGATTGGACTTCTGTTGCTCAGAGCGATCCAGTTGGTAATAGCTCAGGATACCCGCATGTTGACCTTTAAACAGTCACATGGCCAGTCCATCCTCTCTTAGGAGTCGAAGGCGCAGTGAGTGCATCGAAAAATCTTGTCTGACATTGAAACGTCTCACTCAGAATGTGGTCTCGAATGGCCACCTTAAATGTTCCTCTTTCCATCCCTCTTTGCGCTACTAATAGATTATTTTCCTCAGTTTGTAATAGACCTAAAATACACGCCATAAATTATTGCAGTTAGGGAGCGGATTCGAACGGTTCGTTATGCGGGAACGTTGGTAATTATTTGTCGAATAGCGAAGTTTTAACGTGATTAAAATTTGTTCGCAGATCAGTGTCTAACTAGCCATTTCTTAACTTCTTGCACTGATGCCAGGTTGGGAAAATTCCTTGACCTTGGAATTAGTAGTTAACGAGCAAAATTGACGCGGCACATGACGTTTAAATCAGGCACCTCTGACGTGCAAACAAAACTCCTTATTCATTGCGCTTCCTCCTCTGCAAATAGTTTCTTTCAGGTACGTGAACATGGAAGGCCTTCAGTAATGATTTATTCTGGCCACCCGAAGATCCCTCCCCCTTTTCGCAGGGACCTTTGCTGGCATTGTTTGAACAGATTTAAATATGCAGTCTAATGCATGTGGGACTTGTACGGGGTGATGAGGGATGTGCATATGTAGTTATAGGCGTAATGCGAACTTAACGGAATCAAAATGCGGAACAGATTCATAAAAATTCAGCGTACCTGAATCTTCATAATTGCCGTGCTAAGACCTAGTTACCTTGTCTATCTTTTATCGTCATTCATTTATTAATAAGAATCTGAAACCATCATCGCGATATTTCTATGATGAGGATCAGTCGTGGCATGCATCTATTTTATAGAGCTTATGGTGAGGCACTTATCTCGATTTCTTTTCCGTCAGTCAAGAGGGTCTTATTTTAAACGCGACGTTTGTAGCTAATTGTTTCCTTTACAACAAAGAGATACTCATGTGTCCACTTTGGAAAAACAAACGGTGAATGACCTAATCAAGACTCAAACTCGCGATTCATCAACACCAGTCCGACGCTGTTCCGATTGAGCAGCACTAGTCACTCATTCTACAGAGGGTGGTAGGGGTGGAAGAAGCAGATAGTCAAACTGCATAAAGGGAGGTCAAAGGGAGCTATCCTCATGTAAGTAACAATTGGCCGAAGAGTTTAATGCTGCTCAAATTAAGAGCAAATGTGAAAGGTTCTGAATGTAATTCTAGACGCATATTTGAGAGATTGCCTACAGTTATGAAAAAGTTCAGCATCTGTGAGTAATTACTGGTACGTTGGGAAAGATCAGACTATCTCTCTAGAGAATAGAAATTATTCTATGCGCTTCAATACATCGAAGATGTTCAAAAATAATGAAGTAATAATCCGCTTTAGTACTCCACTAGCCTCTTGGCACGGAGGGCAATCAAATAATGCCCTGTAAACCGACTGAGGAAAATTCTCCCTACTCATTATCTGTAGCATTATTAACATTCACCAATAGCCCAAGTTCAGTCATCGACCAGTGATCCGACTCATGAGCGTTTCAGTCCAAATCCTAGCATATATCCTTAAATCCAAACGCGAAATATTTAGGATTATAAACTGTTTTGCGATTTCCAAAGGTTCGGGATGCTGGAGTATCAAAAACATTCGAAAGCACATGATGTCACCCATGAAGCTTAGACATGACATGCGTTAGACATGACTTAATTTGAGGAATTCACAATGTATATCAGTAACAATAACTTGACAGACGTGTGTTGCTGGTGTGTCACATTTTGGCTACTAGCTGTAGCGTCAGCAAAGCCGATATTATGATGGCTTCAATGCAAGTCCTGAAATGCTATGCCAGACGAAATCATAAAACATTTATTAATTTAAAGTTATTTCGAAGTTATTTAAAGTTATGTAGATCATTAAGTCAAAATCTCTAACCTCAGTTGAGGTACCTATTATGCAGTCCAATGTAGTTCCATACGATATACCTCTGGATACCTCTATCTTGCGTGCCAACGCAAGATAGGCATTTCTCTACAACCTGCCACGAACCAAAATTCTACCGGCTAGTGGGGGCTAACGGATTTTTAATCCCATATGACAAATTTCTTAAGATAAATACAGCTACTTAAGGACGGCACTTGCTACCCGCAATAAATGCAAAATAGAAGCAATATGGATGCTTGCCTGGCTAAATTGTACAGAAGATTTTTTGAATCTAGCATAGAGTATATTAACATTATATGTAAAAATCTGCATATGGGATTTTGCTACATATGCAGGCGACTGTTCACAGTAACTCCTCCGTTGCCGGATCCAATCCCGGGTGAGAAAAGGGGAGGTATAGGGACCCTGGCGAGGTCTCCCAAAAAATTTATAAACTTGCCCTCACGCAGTTGTCGAGCGTTATACTGGCTCGATCGTTTCCTGGGTTAATAATTCGGCACAGCCTGTTAGTGAACTGATACACACTGCGAAAAGTCGGTTATAAAAGCCTCCTTAACTCCTTCGGCAGCAGGGAGGGGGGGAGGGTATCAGCATGTAGAAGATTGATAAGAAGAAAGCAGTCAGCAACGGAGTCGCTACCCGTTATGAACGGAGTAGATACGTTAGATGAGGTTACATGGAAGCGACACACAGTTGAAACTTCTCCTCGCTCAGATTTAAAGGGCAGGAGCGAGGTGATGAGACCGTAAGGTACCAACTCGACAGAGGTTGACTTTCGTCAGCGAACCGCCAAGACTCTGGAATCTTGAACCTCTGCGGGTGGAAGCTATAGAGAAATAAACTTGACTGACAGAATCATTGAATGGAGGCCTGTCAGCGATAAAATAGCGTTTCCCTTTGGAATTTGCGCCAGTTCTAAAGATTTGATCTTGTAATAGGTTTACATAAAAAATCCGCAGGAAGAATATGAGTCATTTCTGGAGAAAGTAGAAGGTGCCCTGTACCAAACGTCGAATGCTTAATCCATCATTTTGAAGGGCGATTTCAATGCGCATGTGGAAAGTCGTGATTGGACAGAACAGCCCTGCGACCTTTTTTTTCGCTTTTATGCAAACAACCAACGGTCTGTGCTGAGCACCTTCTTCATGCTTCGAAACGCGCATCAGCATACGTGGTCCAGGGAATCTTGTGCACAAAAGTCGATGATCGATTTCATAACCACGCCTGACTTAGACGCCCTGTATACCCCTTTTGTTGTATACTGCTCTTTGTATAATAAGCGATTATTACGTTGGCGTTAAGAGGGACACAGCGGCGTCAACCGATCATCACCTTGCTGTTGGCAAGTCACACAATAGCAGGTGGAGTTTAATTTGAAGACTTTACGGTAAAATCAAATTGGAAACATGATCTTCTGCGGATGTGAGGGAAAAACTTGCAAGAAACATCGCATGACGGCTTGAACAGGTCGCGGTGACGAAGGCCGAGGTAAAAACAAAGTGAGAACTCTTTAAGAGCCGCTTACTCAGGGTGTCGCTAAACGCCACCGCATAAAACGGATTTACCTGCCACCTCGCGATCAGAAACAAACGTCCAACGGGCACGACAGGTACAACAGGCTATGAACAAGGAAACCCGAATTTACGGGTGGAAAATAAGGTATTTTGGAGGACAATCCATCGCCTGCGAGGTAGAATGGAACGCAGCCTTGAGGAGTCTTGAAAGTCCTGCAGGACAAGTCCGGATGTTCTTTTATCCATGACTAGGG